CTTAACAAAATAGTAAGTCTTCCTGACTAAAAGTAGGAAACATTTAATAAATTGATAACTAAAGGAAAGTAAAATGTCTTTGTATTCAAAGACAAAAGTGAGCTAAATCTCTGTAGCCTAATCAATGAATATTTGGGTAAAGCTTTTTTTTTTTTTTTTTTTTGTCAGGCAGGGTGGACGGTGAGAGAGAGAGAGACAGAGAGAAAGGTCTTCTTTTTCCGTTGGGCCGGCACACCGTGCTGATCCGAAGCCAGGAGCCAGGTGCTTCTCCTGGTCTCCCATGCGGGTGCAGGGCCCAAGGACCCGGGCCATCCTCCACTGCCTTCCCGGGCCACAGCAGAGAGCTGGACTGAAAGAGGAGCAACTGGGACAGAATCCGGCACCCCGACTGGGACTAGAACCTGGTGCGCCAGCGCCACAGGCAGAGGATTAGCCTATTGAGCCACGGCGCCGGCCTTGGGTAAAGCTTTTGCCCCAGAATCTAGTTTCCAACTCTATACCTGAGCATAAAATATAAAAACTCTATACTTGAGCATAAAATAGGTGCTCAAAAAAGACTCATTTTTATTTCCATAAACTATCTTTATCCTACTTGTTTATTTTATCTGAAAGGCAGAGAACAGGGAGAGACAGACAGAGACAGAGAGAGACACAGACAGACAGATTTTTCCATCTGCTGGTTCACTCCCCAAATGCTCACAACATTCGGGGCTGGGCCAGGTCAAAGCCAGGAGCCCACCACTCAATCCGGGCCTCTGATTTGGGTGTCAGGGACCCAAGTATTTGAGTTATCATCTGATGCTTCCAGGGTGCACATCAGTAGGAAGCTGGACTGGAAGTGGAGAAGTCAGGATTCCCACTAGGTACTCTAATATAGGATATAGGTATCCCAAATGGCATCTTAACCACTGTGCAAAACTTCTACCCTCTTCTATCCACTTTAAAATATCCTTTTGCTTCTGATACTTCAGAGATAAAGATTTATTCAGATAACTGGAATAATGTTATAAGATCCTAAGAATCCCTCCCACTCAGGGTAAGACCTGTGAGAGGAAAATGTGGTTAAGAAACCTGTCCTGTGCCTTACACTCCAGCATGGTTGCTATATTTAGTAGGTGCTGAATACATACTGATAGATGAAAAGTCATGCCTTCCCCCATGCAAGAACATACAAGAATTTATGTTATACTCAGGCTCTTTCTTCACACCATACTCCCATCGAACACAGTCATCGCCTTCTCACTTAGAGGAACATTTAAGATAAAAGAAGCAGGAAATGTACTTTCCTTAGAAGAGAACTGGGATTAGCCAGAGCTTCAAAAGATGAGAACAGGCCCAATGTGTGGGAGTGCTATGGAATTACTCCATTATTTTGTTCTGTTTGTTGTTCTGAAAAGTTGCCATGTTTTACCGATTACATGACAAATAAGGATTTATATATTCCAGGTATAAACTGATGATTTGTTACATGTATCCACTGTGTAATGATTAAGCACTGTCAGATTAATCAACACAGCTGTTGTCATCCATGCTGTACATCAGATCCTCAGAATTTATAACTGAAAGTTCTGTACCCTGTAACCAACATCTCCCCATTTCTCCAACCCCCTAGTTCCTTATGGCAGGACCCTGGCTCAACAGTCTGAAACTGTATGTTGACTCTAATATACATTTACCAGGGTCTTATAGTGATAAAACCAGAAAGAAACACAAAACTGGTGGAGACTTGCCAGGTTATAAATGTGAGTGACCTCATGCCTCCTATTTCTCCCTCAACTAATTTGCTTATTTTCAGCCTCCTCTTTCTTTCAACCCAGTAACAATTTTGTGTCTTTCATATGGAACCTAAGAAATCAAATGGTTGAGCTGCATTGATTTGAATTAGAAAACAACATTTTTAGAAGACTTATGTCCATAGGCAGGTAAGGTGTGAATGCAATACAAATCTCTCTACCTCTGAGTGTAGAGTGACATTAAACAACAGATCAAGGAATTTCAGGCTATGGAAGGGTGGAAGAAATTGTCTAGGAGGACCTAGAAGTCCTCTGTGAAGAAAGAGACTTAAAGTTCAGAGAGGTCAGAAGGAAAAAAAAAAAAGAGCAGATGTGAGACTCAGTCTTGGAGGATTTCACAGATTCATGAATCCACAGAATGATTACTGCTGCCTGTAGCACACTTTATGAAGCAAAGGGCCTAGGTAACGGACAGCAGGATAAACTGAAGGTTCTATGACAGGTCTTCAGAGTCAGACGATGTGAAGTCTGGTGAATAACAAAAGCCAGACCTTTCAGCAAAAATGAGGTTGTCCCAAAACACATTTTTAGAATATAGTAGAAGAACCATCTGTGAAAACATATGCGTGTTTACGGTGCTCTCAAATAAGTTACCGGCTACACATATTAATCACATAGCACAGCCCCTTCATCTGCTTTTCTATTACCTGTCCTACTCTGTGCCAATTTCCCTTCTCTTCCCCAACACCCCTTGCTTCACTGTTCTTCTTTAAGACATGGGATGGAGATTTGTCAAAGTCAATGAGCACTTTATTACAGTGAGGACGTTCTGTAATGAACAATTCGGCACTTTAATGAGATTCTGTAGATCTGTCTCCAGCCTGTCCATCAAGTTTCACTTCTATAAAGCACCCTGACACTAATCCTCTGGCATACCCAATCTTCACCCTGGGCTGAATATTAGATTCTTCCATGGTATATTGCATTACTAGTATAACCTCAGCAAAAATGATGAACTTAACTATACTTGAGGCAATATAGCTGGGCTGATTTGATTTTTCTCTATTGAGTTGAGTATGAAGGAATTACTTATTTACTAAGATAAAGCAAAAACAGTTTCTTATTGCCTGCTTAATGCCTAAATTGATAATATTTATGTGAGTCTTTTAATTCTTTCTTGAGGACCAGGTATTAAAAAAAATTGCCTGCAGCAGAAACCAGCTTTTAAAATTCTACATTATAATATTAGTAACCTTTAGAGAGGCAATTATAGCTCTAACGTGGACAGTATGGAATTTTCTTGACACTCAGCCATCTGTACATTACCATGTCGATCTCTGGCAGTGCCTTCAACCATGCCACAGAAAGAGACAGAAGCCACAAGGATGGTTGGCATCAAATCTCAATTCAGTTAGAAAAAATTAAATGCAGACTTCATTCCAAATCTTTCTTTGTCCCTTGGGAAGTGAAGAAAATTTGGTTACTTCCCACTTTGAATTGATGAATGTAAATTCTGATGATTTATGTTTAAAGGGGACAAAATCATATCTTTGCCAACACTTTCAACTTTTGCCTGGACAAACATGAACAGGAATGTCCAAGAAGCAGCAAAAATGTATAATTTTTCATTTTTTCCTTATTATTTTCTTTGTTTTTAATAAGGGCAATGCAGAATAGTGGAGAGATGGGGACAGGTACCAGCAGACCTGGATTTAAAGGTTGGTTCTGAGCAAGGCACTGAAGCCTTATTTTGTTCATCTGGAAGATGGAGTTGGTAACAGTCATTCTGCAGGTCTGCTGGGAGGATAAGTCAGTTTTTTTTTTTTTTTTTTTTTATTTGACAGGTAGAGTTATAGACAGTGAGAGAGAGAGAGATAGAGAGAAAGGTCTTCCTTCCGTTGGTTCACCACCCAAATGGCCACTACAGCCGGTACTGCACTGATCTGAAGCCAGGAACCAGGTGCTTCTTCCTGGTCTACCATGCGGGTACAGGGGCCCAAGGACCTGGGCCATCATCCACTGCCCTCCGGGGCCACAGCAGAGAGCTGGACTGGAAGAGGAGCAACCAGGACAAGAACCCGGCACCCATATGGGTTGCCTGCGCCACAGGTGGAGGATTAACCAAGTGAGCTATGCGCCGGCCCCAGGATAAGTCAGTTTGTAAGGAGCCAGGGACCCAAAAAACCCTCAGAGCACTGCAGCTCATGGTCTCATTGATGGAGGCAATAATTAAGAGGAAAACTGCTGATTCAAGTCAGACGAAGGAATAAGTAAGGGAGAAAGGCACCAGGAAAAGCATCAATCAGTAGAGGCAGATACTGGATAATCAGCCAATGCATTAGGCTTGGAGGCAGAATTAAAAGTGCTCTCTGGATATTATTTGATAAGATACCAGGATTGAATGGTCTCTTCCATTAACAGAAGACCTGTACTTCCCCCTTGTATTCTTTACATAACTATTTTTGAATGATCATGAAATCTCCCAGCCATGATGCTCTACGATGAATGAAGTGGCTAGCCAGTGTTTTGGAGAGTGCTACAGACAGTGTTAGAGGACTGGGGAAGATGGGCTCCAACCGCTTCCCAAAGATACCAGGTGGACTGCTCCAGGAGAGTCACCCGGGATGAGCAGAGGAGAATTTTAATTGAATAATCAACTTCAAAACATAAGACATGCTCCTGTCCCCTAGACAAAGGAATGACACAATGTGGAAAGAATGCTATGTCAGGTGAAAAGGCAGAGCTTAGGCAAATAGCAATGAATGCAGAATGGACTGAGGGAGATTTTTCCACTGCATTCCACAAGAGCTTCAGTTCATTCAAAGTCCAGGCTGTCTGTACTGTAACAAAGAACCGTTTCTGAATTGCTTACAGAAAAAGTCTAGAATTCATTCTGATTCCACTGGTTTTAAATATGTATCAATACCAGTTTACAGCCCACCCTTCCCATATTCTGATTAAGAAACAATTTCTATCAGGGAAAGAAAAAAAAAAAAACCTTTGACTCTTGATGTGGTCACACAAACTGCTGGGAAACCACGGGGAGTCTGGGAATCTCAGCTGCAGGTTCCTGTGTTGAGCTGAGGCCTCCACGCCTCACGGGCTGGTGCCTCCAAACTCCTGCTCAGCGTGGGAGTGTAACTTCCAACACTTCAACCCCGCTCAGGATGAAACCAGACAAAATGTCGTCGTTGGCCCTCCATAATCGCATCACGCCTTTTCAGCGCCGACGGGAAGGGCGGGGGTGGCGGAGCAGAGCGCCCTTACCTGCCAGATCTGCTCTTCACTCAGCGAGGTCAGACGGTCGCTCTTCAGGACCTCCTGCAGCAGGCAGTAGGGCAGCATGAGGACGTCTTCTGGCCGGCTCTTCAGGAGTTCCGAGAGATGTTTCACCAAGAAATCGATCACTGCCTTCTCCAGCAAAGTGAGGTTAAAGAGGTCAGCGAGTCTGTACAGATCCAAGTAATTAAAGCTATTTAATTCCTGGGTGCCAAAAAAATAAAAAGGAAGAAAGAGCGCTTAGAAATCAATCCAAGAAAAGGCAGGCAAGAAACGCAGATGGACTCAAAAAGGTTGGCATGACAGGGGTGGGAGAAATGTGACTGCTGGTGTGAAAACAAGCAAGCAAGCAAGCCAACAAACCCCACTTACAAGGTGGTGGGCAGAGAACTGGTGTTCTGGAAGTCAAGTTTTCTTCACGTACTCCTCTTTTTTTTTTTTTTTTTTTTAATTTTATTTATTTATTTCAGAGAGAGACTGAGAAGTCTTCCGTCTGCTGGTTCACTCCCCAGATGACCTCAACAGGCTGGGGATGGGAGGATCCAAAGCAAGCAGCCTCTTCCGGGTCTCCCACGTGGGTGCAGGGACCCAAGCACTGGGCCATCTTCTGCTCTCCCAGGCCATAGCAGAGAGCTGGATCAGAAGAGGAGTAGCCAGGAGTAGAACCAACGCCCATATGGGATACCAGTGCCTGAAGCAAGGGCTTAGCCCACTGTGGCACAGCACCAGCCCCCACTTACTCCTCTTAAAACACTCACATTTAAAGGCATTTTAAGAAAGGATTGTGAGGGCTTTCTGGTTTCACTAGCTGAAATGGTATTTCACAACTCTTTAAAACCATTTGCCAATGAACACAAGCGATTTTTCTAGCCTCACCATACTTTACAACTTTCTTTATTTTCTACTACAGATAATATAAGGGTAGGTAAGGTGGGATGCATGGTTAGGTGACAAATTCCATATGAAGATAGACCGAATTCGCTCTTTCCCATAACCTCAAACTAAATATTTCTTTAAGTAAATAAAACAACTCATTAAACAACTCATTCTGATTTGATGAAATATAAACACAGATTTGACCAGTAAAGTCTCAGGAAACCTCACAAAATAACCTCCTGACCTAACAATTCTCTGAGGACTCCACCTAAGATGGATTATTTGTAATTGTTCTTTGTTTTAGGTCAGCCTTATTCAGATACTAATAGCATTCTTTCCCCCTTTTTCAGGAGTTTCTGTAGCAGTGATTCAAAGAGGGTGGGGTTGGGGTTGGGTTTCACCTGTCTCTACAAGAGCTCAAACTCAGAGGAAGGACTGGACAATAATGCCTTTAGAAAACTGTGGCTCTGTCACTGTAACCCTGTGAAAACCAGAGTGGACACACACACATACACATACTTGTCCGCAGAAAACTTGCCTATTTCTGCTAGAATTAGAATGGGCCATGTCCTGGTTACCCTTCCATTTTAATTCATGATTATTAGTATGGGATCAATATGCTCCAATAACTCAAGGAATACAGAATGCCATCAGACAGCTATTTCACTGTTGATCTATTTAAATAATATCAACATACACCCCCTCTTTTCTAAGTTATTTAAGAGTATTAAGGTCTCCACCTAGAAATATTTTATTCTCTTCTAGTGTGTATGCTTCCATGGTATTTGAGAAGTGAATATTTTTAAATCTTTGCTGTCCAACACAATAGTCACTAGCCACATGAATCTATTGGGTGTCTGAAACATGGCTAATCTAAAATGGTATGTGCTATAGGTGTAAAATACACACTTGAGTGTAAAGAGTAAGAAAAATAAAATGGAAAAACTCAATAATTTTTATACTGATTATGTGATGAAATTATGGCCTGGATATATTGGGTTAAATATTTTATTATAATTGAATTAACTGTTACTTTCAAAATGTAGCTACTAGAAAATTTTAAATTACATATGTGACTCCCATTGTATTTCATTTGGACTGTAAGTAGTATTCTAAATAACAAAATACATATCAAGAAATTGTAGCACTAAGTAATGGCTAGGCAAAAAGCTCTGGAGTGAACTAAAGGGTCCACATTAGGTGACTCTACTTTTACATAATCAGAATGTGCTGTATAATAGGGGAACAAAAAAGCTAGAAGAGAGGATTTTGAAGTTTTCCCCATATAGAAATAATAAATGTTTGATAATATGTTTACCCTGATTTCAACATTACACAATATATCCCATATTAAAATATTACATGGTACTCCATAAATATGTACAATTTATATATATCAGTTAACATTTAAAAAATAAATGAATTAAAAAATTATAAAGCAGCTGTTAAACTATCAGATGCTTTATTACTAGGGCTACTTGATTAAAATGTTGGTTCTAGATGCTGGTTCTTCTGGTGGAAGATGATACTTTAATCATATTCCTAGTAGGAGTCAAGCTAGAAGACTTCAGGAATCAGGTTAAGATTCTGGCTCTTAATAGGTCTATTTGCCAACATGACTGGAAGAAGAATAAATGCTTATCTTTAAAATGTAGTTCATCACAGATGGTCATTAAAGTCCCCTTCATCTCTGAGATCAAAGGCTCTATAAACAGCCATTCAATCAAAATATTCTGACTTCCCATTCAGCAGATTTTATCAAAACGACACTGAAGATTTTTATTCCAGCACCAATTCAAATAACAAACTTGTTCTCCAAATCTTGCTTCTTAGGGTTGGCAAAGTCTGCCCTGGGGGCTAAGAATGGATAATCCTGACACGTGGAACTTCCACTGCAAACTTCAGAGGACTCTCTTCTTATGATGAGTAGGTTATTTCTGGTAACTGTTATCCAAGTTTTACAGCACTAGGGCCCTGGATATGATTTTGGCATCCAAATAAATTACTCTGCAGGGGCCGGCGCTGTGGCATAGCAGGTAAAGCCGCTGCCTGCAGTGCCACCATCCCATATGGGCACCGGTTTGAGACTCCGCTGCTCCACTTCTGATCCAGCTCTCTGCTATGGCCTGGGAAAGCAGTGGAAGATGGTCCAAGTCCTTGGGCTCCTGCACCCACGTGGGAGACCTGGAAGGAAATCCTGGCTCCTGGCTTCGGATTGTCGCAGCTCTAGCCATTGTGGCCAGTTGGGGAGTGAACCAAAGGATGGAAGACGTCCCTCTCCCTGTCCCTCTCTCTTTCCCCCTCCCCTCTGCCCTCCCCCTCCCCCTTCCTCTCCGCTTCTCCTTTGCTGTGTAACTCTGACTTTCAAATAAATAATAAAATTACTTTGCAGTCCCTCAGAAGTCTGAGATAGCCTTTCAACTATCCCAGCTGCATGCCTAGAGTGCCGAGCAGCACAGCACACAGAAATGGCCATCACCAGAAGCCAAGAACAACCAGGCTCTGCAAAGTAAGAGGTGGATGGGCACTAAGATAGGGGAAAACCTTTTCTCCCATTTGTTCACCTGCCAAGAAAATGAACCCAACTATAGGGTGAGCTGGATTATGTGGGGTAACACAGCATTGTTTATTATTCACCTTTATATACTTATATGCAGATACTGAATTTCTTCCAATTGAAGTATAACTTAAAAGTGGTTCAACTCAGAGCTATGGGAAATCAAATAACTAAATTACTTTTACAAAGAATTTTTAAACTGGTGGTTTTTTCCTGCTGTGTTTCATTTGAAGGCAATTATTTAATGTCTTCTACCATAGGCTTGAAATATTTTCATTTCTTAAACATATAATGTTATATACCCCTCAAATGCAATCTAACAAAAGCATATCCAGTTTACTAGCGGAAAACAGAGAACGCTTAATGGACAAATGTCCATGGCTAACTGAACAAATGTCCATGGCAAACAGGAACAGAACTGATACATGTTTGTGTGCAAGGGTTAGAAGGTAAAGATGTTTCCTTCCCTACATGTCTATTTCTCCTCTCTTCTGCTTAGAAACAGAATTTTCCAAATTTCTAGTGCTTTCTGGATGTGTCAGAGATTTCCTTTCACCATTCTTTGCTTAGCTTGCACCTCAGTAATTAAACTAAGGTTAAAGTGAGGATTCAGGGGGCTGGGGGAAACCTGCCCTCTCTCAGGCCAGAATGCCATAGCACACACTCCAGTCGGGGGCAAATGGACTCTGGGAGCTTTAAGCAAAAAACATGATGTTTCATCCAATGGTTAAGACCATGTGTAAGCAAACTAAGCTCCAACAATGCTGCTTTTAAGGGTTTCCATTAATGTGATGGGGAAAGTGGGAAGCAATAGTTAAATTGCATTAAATGCCTACCTATATTACTCTGGATAGGAAAAAAATCATTGCTGTTTTAGAAAGAGTGCCATTATGTTTCTGGTTATAAAAAGTAATAAATGTTCAGTCCATAAAATTCAGGACATACAAAGTAAGAAAAAGAAAACAAAAATCATTCATAATTTCACCACGCAGAGATAATCACTATTAATGTTTTTGTATATGTATTTCTAGACTTTTAAATAAGAAGCCTTTTATATGTCAAATAAAGAGAAAGAATAATGGCATCACAGCAGAACAAATCATAAGCTGCCACAGGTACTCAGACGCAGCCCAGCTTGGTAGAGTAGAGCAAGGCCCATGGAGTCAGGTGGACCTGGCTCAACTCTGTCTCTGATCATTGGTCAGGACCCTAGGTTAATCACTGAACCTCCACTATTCCCCATGAAAAAAACAGAAAACTCAGCCAATTCACAGGGTTGTTATGGAGGCAATGTAGGAATGCTATCACAGCTCTGCACATGGAAAATATATAGTAGATTGAAGGGAAGGTGGCAAGAACAGTAAGACATATTTGAGCATTGTTGTCTGGTATCCATAAGCCCTAACTCATCACTGATGCAATGAGTTCACAATGAAGAAAGTGATCTCTTCAGATATATGGTGAAGTCACGGAAATGAGGTGGCCAACGTAAAAATCATGGAATTGAGCTATAAATTAATTGTACATTAATATCTCCTGCATCTAAATCACTAACACGAGTCTTTCTCCCAAGATCTGAATTCATTTTCCCAACTGTTTCTAAGAATACATCTTCTCTTGGACATCCCACATCCATACTGAACTCAACCTGTGCAAATTTATTTTATTTTATGTGATCCTGCAGCTTTTTTCCCATATGCCCTCACTAGGAGAAAGGCCACATCCAAACTCACACCTCAGGAATTTGAAAGCTGGCCCATCTTCCTCTCTT